ATTAAAAACAGAAAAAAATATAAGAGAATAAAATCAAATGATAATATATGTTCTATATATCTACTATCTACTTATTCATTCTTGTTAACATTAATATATTTGTAAAATATAGTTTTTATTGGAATACGTATTCTGTTTAATTTTTTCATTCAATTGATATATATATTTTGAAATTCAATTTGCTTCATTTAATGATTCATAATGCTTTATTTAAGAAATTTGTGAAGTGATGTTTAAAAATCAAGAAAAATGATAAAATTTCAATAGTACTATATATTTAATCAGACACATCAATTCAAAATTAAAAATTTCTATTTTAAACTATTCAACAATATTTTTGATTTTTAAAAAGTGACTTACTAATTTTTTTATACAATTCAAAATATGATAGCAGCTTTAAATGAAAAATCAATTATTTCTAGGATATTCTGGTACATAATGTTAAAATAATAGAATTACTTAAAATAAAAAATATTTGAATCATTTGAATCAATAAAAATCAACATGCATTTGACTATTCTTAGATTTTTTTTTAAATTTTAAAATATTTAAATTGCCTAAAAAATTATATTATAACAGAAACAACGAAAATGAAAAGTAAGTGACGTGATAAATTCGAATGAAAAATATAAAAAATATAAAATGCTTTGTATGTATATATTTAAAGAAAAGATTATTTTACTATGGAAATGCATAAAAACTGATATTGATACATAGAACAACATGTAAAGATATTTAATTTTGTTCTCTGATAATTTTTTCTCTCTCTAATACTTTATAATTTCACTCAGTAGTATGGAACACTCTGTATAATATGTATAAATTATAGAGCTTATAATATTGAGAATTTTGAATTAAGATAAAAAAATTATAGAAAAGTACATTTATTCCTATTCATCTTTCTTAATATTTCTTAATATTTATAATACCTATTTATAAATCATTCACGTAATGAATTTAGTCAAGTTTATAAGCTCTATAAATGAAAATATTTCAACTATTCAATTTTTAATTGAGTTTAAATGGTGTGAGTGTTTGGCTGAAGCAGTGAGAGTCATGAAAAGCTAAAATAGAACTATGATCAATGAAATGCAAATAGTTACGTAAAATAAAAATGAGTTTGAGATAATTAAAATTTAATAATGATTTTTCCTGAAAAAAGAGGGCATCGTATAATAATAAATTGAATTTCAAACAAATTTTTTTACGAGATACATTGCTATGATTTGTATGAATAAATTCCTAATGAATTCTTTAAAATAATAAAAGATGAATAATTAGAAACGAACAATTGGAAAATGGACATTTACAAAAAATATTGATGTAATTAAATTTTAACTTCTAACGTCTTATATATATATAATACATTTGTAATCAATGATATATGATTAAAATAATCTCTTATCATTTACAGAATTATATTCGATTGCACCCCTCTCTAATTTTTGCTATTGTCAACATAAAAATATAGGTAGTGTGATATTGTTCTCTGCTAGGACCACTTGTATATCTTGTAGTAGCGAAGCAGCAATGTAATTTTGATTTCATATAATCAGCACTTTGATTCCTCTGCACTTTTGAATCATACTGAAAGCAGAAAAATAATAGTCGCAAATAAATTTGAAACGAATGTATCACAATGAAACTACAAATAAATAAAAATTACGAACATACATAGATGGCATTATGTCATGCACAATGACAGGTAGATGGAATAAGCGACAAGTGACAAACAATTCTTTGAAAATTAATAATTTATTTAAATAAATTAATTCCATATATATGACTTTTATTAAATTAATAAAACATATATAACAATGAGATTTTTATTGCGATTTATATAAGTATCAATTATTGAAGAAAAAAAAATAAATAAAAGATAAAAAAATTGAAAGAATTGTTTGTCGTATAAAGACGGAAATGGCTATATGATGACAGATGTTTGTGGACGATTTTGGTCAGGTTTTTAAGCCTTACATGAATCAGGATGTGGCTTCTCCTCGGCCACCATCAGGGCTGCACTCTCTGCTGGCGGTATGTGTCCCTCTAATGCATTCACACAGTTTAGCATGCTCCTGCAAAACATCACGCGACTTGTCCAAGTTTCCGCTTCTTGATACATGTCTATTGAATCTTTCCTTCCCTTATTATATTCCACATCTTCGTCGAGGGCATCGATTTAACATGCACCGACATCGCAGGACCATGGGGAAACAGTATCGCGGCTTATCAACTTAAGTACTCGTCAACGTAAGTAATACATATCCGTTTTTTATTTTTTATTCTATCCTAATTGACCTGGATTTAAAAATTTTGGATTTGTGATGTATCCCGGCTTACAACGCTACTACTATTATAACACGATTGCTTGTATTTCGTTTTGTTCTGTGGCACGTTATAACAATAACAAAAGCTACCATTAGTCGAACTTTAATTTTGCCTATTTTTGTTCACACTTCGCTTACAGCTAAAGTAAAAATAACTTTCGTTACTTGGATTTATTCCGATTTGCATTTTTTTTCTTTCTTTCTTTTTTCATTTTTTCTGTCTCGTCTCAAGAAATGATAATTCATTTCACAGTTTCTAGCCTTGTAGGATTTCAGTGGTTCACTGGCCTGTGTAGTAGACTTCAAACATATGTATGTATCGCTTGCATAATTATCGAATTTCGATTACTTTGACTATTTCGCTTTCTTATCGAACAGGAGATTCGCGGGATCGCGGTTAACCATAAAAAAACGAAAGGTGAATGTACACGCTGCGCGGAGATACTTCGATCTCTTCTCAGCGTGACTGAGAATATTTCTTAATTGACTTTTCCTGCAAGGTGAATGAAAATTAGGTCCAAAAAGCTTGACCAAAGTTTAAAAAAAAAAAAAAAAAAAAAAAAAAAAAAAAAAAAAAAAAAAA